CGGGTTGTTGTTGTTGTTGTTGTTGTTGTTGTTGTTGTTGTTGTTGTTGTTGTTGTTGTTGTTGTTGTTGTTGTTGTTGTTTTGGGGCTGAGTTTTCCCTTGGGGAACTCTAAAGGACGTCACTGTACTGGACCCAGCCTTGTCTTGTCCCCGGACCTTCCCGAAAAAACAAGCCCCGAGCTTTGACATGTACTGTAGGGTTGATGCCACCCATATTAGGGGGGATTTCATCAACCCATCAGACAGATTTATGTGGGATGGATGTGCATTACCTGTATAGTCAGGGCCTGACCATGGCACATTTTGCCAATGCAAGTAATGATGGACCATACCAACGATCAATCATCAATCAGTCAGTTCATATATATATATATTTACATGTGTACATATGGGTTTATATTTTTATAGAGATAGATACACATGATGTTATAGAATGCAGTGGACATGCCCAGGAAGCCAGCACTGACGCAGAGTGCCGTTCAGGGGTCGGAGAGGCCGGTTGAAGCGGAACCGCAAGGGGTAGTGCAGTCGATGGAAAGTCACCAGTTTGTAGTACTAGCCACTCGGCGCCACCAAGATCGGAAAATGCAGCCCCTGCTATTGCGATTCGGACCCCTGTTTGTTGTTTTTTTTCCCATGCTACAGCTACAGCACTTATAAGCGAAGTAAATGTCAATTTCCGTTGCTTGATCAATGTCATTTAGAATCTGATAAAGGGGATGCTGCTTTTTCAAGTCATGCACTGCTGGACCAACGACGAAAGAATGGGTGTGCATAGGTGGGTAATACGCCAATGGCATTTGTCCGGACACCGGACTCGTGTTTTTTTTTTTCGGCATCCTCTCGGGGATGATGGGGGCCCTTCAGACTTCACCTCTTTGGGCTCAGGTCGCTGGCGCGAACGCTCTGCGGCCGTTGATGCGCTGGACAGAGCAAGGTCCGTGGCGCGGACGTCCTGGGGATTTGTGTGAGTGTCCTCAAACGAAAAGAAAATCGATCTGGCTTAGGGTTGGTAACTTGGAACTTTTTGGGGTTGGCAGCCATTTCTGATCACCATAGTTTCTTGATGTTTCTTTGTAGATGTTCAGATCGACAAATCCATGAACTGTGCTGATTCTTCTCATCAGCATATGTCTTGCATTGGACTGACATTTGGCCTGTCTTTGAAGCGTGAGTCTTCTTTGCCACCTTCGTCTTGCTCTTTGGCTGGCTCAAGCTCTTTGTTAGAGCTGTGCAAGATTTCCATAGATTTGTTTGATTCATACAAGAAGCATAGGAAGCACAGGAAGAAAGCCTACGCCTGGTGACTGCGCAGAACAACTTGGGAGTTTTCTCGGCCCCTGCTGGCGACTGTGGTCTTTGCACAATCGCACAAAGAGCTGTGCTTCATCAACAGTGGCATTCAAGCTGAGAATCGTTGAGCATGCTACGCTTGGCCGCAAGAAGACATTGTTCAAGTGGGATTCACAGAGATGTCCAAGAGAAAGTCAGAAAGAGCTCCCGTGTATCCGACAACCTCCCCGACCTCATCTACGTCATTTTCGACTCCAAGGCCAAGGGGGTTATCCGACATGCTAGCCAAGCATTCCAAGACTTCTTTGGTTGGGCCGACTGTGAAGGCCAACAGCTCTTTAGCCCAGCAACTTTACTTCAGTCCGACGAACTGAAGCAGATCTCCCATGAGGCTGGGCTTAGTGGTGATGAGGTTGCGACGAGCCTCCACCGAATGGCTCAAGCAGCAGAGGAGGCTGTGCAAAGCACAGCTACCGGTGCAATGCAAATGCCATTGCTGCTGCTAAGCCATTGCACCAGCGGAGAATTGTTTGTGTGTCAGACTTGCTGGCGAAAGAATGTGCATCCGACCTTGGGTTGGTCTTATTACGCCGGGGTGGTGGAAGACATGTCACGGGCCATTTCTGTAGGCCGCCTGGTGGTAGCTGCTTGCAAAGAAACAACTTATGCAGAACTTTGCACAGGGTGGGCTGAGACAGGTTCCGATGTGGGATTGCTCTCCCAAAGGCTTGCTTCCGATGAGGAACTGCATGCCGCGGCCGAGAAGATGTGGAAGGATGAACTGGCGAAGGGCGTCAAACCCAAATCCGGCTCGAAGAAAAGGGAAGCAGACATGAGCTCTATCTGGAGTCGAAGTACAGCCTCAACCATCACCAGCTCGAAAGATGCAAAGCATGCCAAAGTGGATGATCGACCACTTGCATCGCATCATTTCGGGGCTCTTCTTGGCATGTTGCCCAGTGAAGACAGTGAGAAAAGTTCAAGAAGTGAGAAAAAGCTGGAGGAACCGCCCGAGCCACCTCAAGTGATTGAACCCGCTCAGCTGCCGACGGCTGAGACATTTGAATCAGCTTCAGAGGATGAGTTCGAGGAGTGTGAAACAATGTCCCATAGCTCCAGCGTCAGCGTCGACAGTGGGCCTTTGTTCGACGAGGTGGAGGATCCAGTGAAGCACATCGATCGAGCAAAACTCCGCAACATGAATCAGGCTTTTGTGCTTGCAGTGTGCACCAGGCCTTCGATTGGCCCGAAGTGCTCCAGCTCTGTCGACTTTCCCATCGCCCTGAGGTCTGCAGGTCTTGAAGAATCTGCAGCGAGCTGGCCGGCGGGACCTGCCTGGAAGGCTCAAGTTGGCAGCAATGCCAGGGAGGTTTTCCAGCCGGGGCCGGGCTCACCTCGGGCAACTCTCTTGTGGAAGACCTTCTGTGAATGCTTCGAACGCCAACAATTCTTTAAGACTGAAGCTGGTGGTGGCATAGCCTTGCTAAGGGATCTCGAAGAACCACTTCCAGCTGGTGAATTTGCATTTGTGCAACCGTTTCACAGCAGGCTGGGCAATCCGATCGACTGTTTGGTGTTCGCAAAGCATATTGAGCTTGACGATTGCCCTTATCTTCTAGCTCTGCACTCATACTTGCCGAACGACGACCACAGCCTTGAAGACGAATTCTGCAAATTGAGTTCGCAACTTGATGAAGTCATCTCCCACATCGCTTCCGAGTTCTTCTACTATGCCCCAATGAGGCGCCAGAGGACTTTCCGTGAGAGCCGCATCTGTACAGCGGGGACGCAGTGACCAGCAGTGACCAGCAGTGACGGAACTCCGTCAGAGTTCCAAAACTGAAATACAGCACGTGGGATGTCAGGTTGCAGCACGCATTCCCCAAACCGATATTGCATTCTTGCATATACTTGGAAACCCATATGTGACGATTTATTTTGTTTGTTTGTGATGTCCATACGGCTTGTGCCACAAAACATGTCCATATGGTCATGTACGGTTTTTTGTCAACATTTTGTTGGAAAAATACGGGTTGCATACGGCCAAATACGGCCACCGGCCAAAAAAACTGACCATACAGGAAAAACGATCCAACTACGGGTTCCGTCCGAAGAGAAATGGCCATGTGGCTTTCCAGGTAGTTTGTGTACACTTACAGATTGTCTTATACATTTGGCTGTTGCGGGATGATCCCCTCTGAAGTCGAACTCCACCAGCTTGCTGCGATCGCGCGCCGAGCGCGTTGAGCCCACATGCCACGTGGGTGACTTCTACTTTTCTTTGCGGAGGTCACCCGTGCCGAGGCTCTACTAACTTGGGTTGGTTGGATGCTCTCTTCGCATGTGAAGGAACATGAAGGTAATGGTATTTTGGCATTGCCCCATATTCTTGGTGTAGGTGAATAGGCGTATATATATATATAGATGGAACAGTCAACTCCTAATATCATGATGAACAATAGTGGAACCAAGTGATTCTGCACATGCGCCACGATGCAAGTATTTCAATTTACAAATGTGCATGCACACACACACAGACACACACACACAGAAACACACACACACACACACAGAAACAAACACACACACACACACACACACACACACACACACACACACACACACACACACACACCCACCCACGCACGCACGCACGCACGCACGCACGCACGCACGCACGCACGCACGCACGCACGCACGCACCGCACGCACCGCACCGCACCGCACCGCACCGCACCGCACGGCACCGCACGGCACCGCACGGCACCGCACACCGCACGGCACCGCACGGGCACCGCACGGCACCGCACGGCACCGCACGGCACCGCACGGCACCGCACGGCACGGCACGGCACCGCACCGCACCGCACGCACCGCACCGCACCGCACCGCACCGCACCGCACCGCACCGCACCGCACCGCACCGCACCGCACCGCACCGCACCGCACCGCACCGCACCGCACCGCAACGCACCGCACCGCACCGCACCGCACCGCACCGCACCGCACCGCACCGCACCGCACGCACGCACGCACGCACCGCACCGCACCGCACCGCACCGCACCGCACCGCACCGCACCGCACCGCACCGCACCGCACCGCACCGCACCGCACCGCACCGCACCGCACCGCACCGCACCGCACCGCTCCGCTCCGCTCCGCACCGCATCGCACCGCACCGCACCGCACCGCACCGCACCGCACCGCACCGCACCGCACCGCACCGCACCGCACCGCACCGCACCGCACCGCACCGCACCGCACCGCACCGCACCGCACCGCACCGCACCGCACACACACACACACACACAACACACAACACACACACACACACCACACACACACAACACACACACACACACCACACACACACAACTCTTATGAATTGACATGTCCGACAATATCCGGCCCAAGCCGAGCTGTAATACTCCTCGGAAGAGCCTTGGCAGCAAATCAAATAGTGTCATCCGGTTGTGTCCAAGGCACGTCCTGATCGAAGCCCAATAGCAAGCCCAGCTGTGTGAATTTATCAAAAACGAATACGGACTAGACTCAAGTTGTGCCATCATTTTACCAGACGTACACACTACACACTGTATATATGTACATATGTTTATAGATGTGCAGGCGCTTAGATAATTGAGAAAGCATGCGTTGGTCAGTGATGTCATCGGTTGCATGAAACCCGGCGGCCATTTAGGCTTAAGCCACAAGGCAGCGGTTTGCAAGTAAAACGGCGCAGCCTAGCAGACAGCGCGGCTGCGTCGCACTTCAACAGTGGCACCGGAGCCTGAGTTAGCAGCAGATAGCGCTCGCTGAGCCCATCTTCTGCTTTAATTCATCCAGGCCGCGCTCTTCACACATTTGACTGACTGCGTTGGGACTTTGGGACAGTTTGCGCTTGGCTTTTATTTGACTGCGTCGGGTTGGGCTGAGGTGGGCTGGACCCCCCCGGATCACTTGAGGTCTTTCTTTCTGCTGCGCGGGAAGCCGGACTTTGCTTTTTAGGCAACTCATCCAGGTCGCGCGCGTCATACATTTTACTGGCTTCGTCAGTTTCTTCGGGCGAGACTGTCTTGCCGGCCGCGACCCCGTATTTCGCATCCTTGCCGCTTGGATTGTTTGACAGGGTTCGCAACAGCACGTGGGCACTATAGGCATCTATTTCTGGCTGCGTCGGAGGTGGTTGCAGGTGCTTGCGCGCCGCACATGGCACGGCTGATTCTTGGTCCCTTAGGGATTACTTGATGGCCGAGCTCTTTTTATTTTACTTTTTTGCGGAATTCACTCAAGGGGAAGACAAAGGGACGAGTTCATGGTTCAAGGTGCCCACATGGGACGGGAATCCTACGACCTACCGCAGTTGCAAGAGGGGAGATGAGCGGGTGGTCGGCCTCTCTAGATCTAGAGAGCTGCCGGGAGTTCATTGTAGCGGCCAGATAAACGCAGTGGTGCGAGCAAGATGCGAGGAGTTCGAGCCAGAAGAGCTTCTGGGAGAGGAGCCGGAGTACGGCGTAGATCCCGACAAGCCAGACGGCCCGGCGATCAAGTTGACGGACGGCGAAGGAGCTCGCGCGCGCCTTGGAGGAGTCACATTATGGGGCGAACGGAGTTGGATAGCAAGGGCGAGCTGCGGAAGCAATTCTACCAAGACATCAGGCGACATCCTCATGGTGAGCGGATCTCAGCATTTTGCACCCGCTACTGGCTGACTGCAGAGATGAAGCGTGCGCGCCTTGTCTTGTGAGGGCTTTGTCTTGCCAGCTTGGCTTTTCCCTTGGCTTTGATGCTGTTTCGGGACCTGCGCACATCTGACCCCTTGTGCCGGCGACCTCCTGATAGAGCGCCTCTCACACACAACGGATGTTTGGAGGTTCCACACATCTGCCTCGACTTCATCCGGAAATACGGCACCCTCTCACAGGTCATTCCGGTCCTCAGGATCCACAGTTTCACGTGGATTAGGCAATTCGTTTCCGCGCCAGGCCATGGTCATCGAGGTTCCTGCTAAGGAAATGGAGCCACAGCCTGAAGATGAGGATGGTGCACAGCAAGAAGAGAACGAGGTTGAGGTGTCAGCTGGACTTGACGATTTGCTGCAGAACGAGCTGGAGATACTTGTTTCGGTGCTGCAAGAGTTGGAAGAGTCTGGTGATGTGGATCAGGAGACGCTGGATAGCCTGGAGGAGGGACTCGAGCGAGCTGCAGAATCTCTTATCACGATGCGAGAGGCCGGATCTGTTTCGATTGGCATCCCTTCTGCGCGCAGATCAATCACAACGACAAGCTCACCTTTCGAGCAGCTGAAGGCGTGTGTTCGCCCCATCCTGGCAGACATGATGCAGAAGCATCCAGCTCCATCCAGAGCAAGTTCAAGCAAGCAGGCAGAAGCCCTTCAATGCTCATTGTGTGAGGAGCAGCGAAAGCCAACAAGCCGACAGTTGGGATCTTTGCCGGTCGTCAAGGATGTCTCTGATCAGGCGCACATTGATGTGCTGGAGGCTCATGATGCTGCCGGCACTAAGTACTATTGGGCTTCTCGCTTTCAAATGGCAGAGGTCCGCTTCGGTCGAGAGAAGCGCTGGTTTCCGATCTTCGGACCTCCGAAAATGTTGGTGGGGGAGGTATGTTGTTGTAGCGGCTACGGCGGTAGAAGTAGACGATCATGCCTGGCTCGAGATGGTCAGTCATTGTGGTCTGTCGTGAACAGGCCAACTCACCCCTCCGCAAGGCAGTAGAGAAATGTACGCGGGTCATCGCCACCTTCACACACCGCAATGCCAGATGAAGTGACTGTTTCAAGAAGCCATGCTCGGCCAATTGCTGGCTGAAATTCCCAAGAACGTCTCCATGTAGTCGGGGCTGCCTGCCCAGCGCTGCTTGGGCCGGCGTCACTCCAGCATCGTTAATGTCGTTGTTCTGTCAAGTCCAGCCCCTCGTGGCCGATCACCTGAATTCGCACGCACGCCGCCAAAATGGTCACCCCCGCTCACATACACCATGGCAGTATGCCAATGCAGGATTGAGTATCGCGGACCAAGCTCCTCAAAGGCCCACCTGACGAACCCCCTTGCATCGATTTGAAACGTTGGCGTAGAGCTGCTCTGTGCTACTCGCCCTTGAAGGCCACGCCAACTGCTGAGAGCTGACCAAGTGCGCACGGGAACATGCGCGGGCAGCTATAGCGCTTTGGAGCAGATTTCGGC